ATCACATGTGTGGGGCCTGCAGAGGTTAGAAAGGGAGTACTGGATTCCCTACAACTGGAGTTTCAGAGAGTTTTGAGCTACCTGCCATCTAAGTGCTGGCGACCAAACCCAGGTCCTCTACAATATCGGCAACTACTCGAAAGCACTGAGCTATTTCCCCAGCCAAACAATCAGATCTTATTCTAAACATTTACCATCATCTAATATCACACAGAACATATAGGCTTCAAAGTTACAAGTCATATATTCAAAGATCCATGGTCATGCAAAGTATATGCTAGTATAGAACTTCTGATGTTAGCTAAATCAAAATTTCATAATCACTTTTGAGAGGACAAAGGACCCAAAAGATATTCCTACAAACTCACTTTTTGTTTTTTGGTTTTTTCGAGACAGGGTTTCTCTATATTGTTTTGGAGGTTGTCCTGGAACTCACTTTGTAGACCAAGCCTGCCTCTGCCTCCCAAGTGCTGGGATTAAAGGCGTGCGCCACCAACGCCCGGCCAAACTCACTTTTGAGAAGTACTTTTTTCCTTTTGGTTATTCAAGACAGAGTTTCTCTGTGTAGTAGTCCTGGCTGTCCTGGAACTCACTTTGTAGACCAGGATGGCCTTGAACTCATCGAGATCCACCTGCCTCTGTGCTGGGACTAAAAAGTGCTGGGACTAAAAGCGTGCACCATCACCACCCAGCTTAAACTCACTATTGAAAAAAAAAATGAAGAGATGGGTTGGATAGATGGCTCAGGGGTCAAGAGCACTCACTGCCTACTCTTCTAGAGGTCCTGAGTTCAATTCCCAGCAACATGATGGCTGACAACCATCTGTAATGAGATCCGGTGCCCTCTTCTGGCCTGCAGGGATACATGCAGGTCGAACACTACACATAATAAATAAATAAATCTTAAGGGGAAAAAAGAAAAAAAATGAGATGCCTGTTTCTGAGAGATAATAGATATACAAGAGATACTAAAGTTACAAGAAAATTACACTTTTTCTGATATCAGAAAATGTTATTTATTATTTTGTAACAGAAGTGCTCCAGATACAAAGTTAATGAGGATATAGTCCTTATCAATAAAAATACAAATAACTGTAAAAAAATTAGCAAGCGCTAAAATGGCAGGTATTTACTAAGTAAGGCAAGATGCAAGAAAGCTGAAACCAGCATTCATGTATTCAAATCTTTTCGACCAGGACTAGGCCTGGCATGCAGTACATGACCGTGAACAAACGCTACGGAAGAAAACAGTGCAAACTAAAGTCAAGGGGCTGGAGAGGGGTTCAGCAGTTAAGAGCACTGCTGCTTTTCAGAAGGCCTCGGTTTGATTCCTAGCACCCACAATGCTGCTCATGACCAGCTGTAAATCCAGTCCCCAGCAACCCAGCGCGCTCTTCTGTCTTCCATGGGCCCCAGGCATGAAAGGGATATACAGGCAAAACACTCACATACATATAGCTTTTAAAAAAGTAAGAAAATACTAAAGTTACGTACCCTTTTGAGAGGCCAGATCTTTCACAAGGCAGGAGCAATTTAACACGGGTCTAGCAAAAGGAACAAAAATGTCCGAATCAGCACATACACAAAAAGTGAAAGGAAGACCAAAGATCAGTAGAGCATGTGAGTGACAGGCTTCGTATGCAAAGTCCAGAGGCGACAAGCAACTAACTATACAGGGAGTGTAAGATGCTATTACACAGACATTGGGATTTTCTTTTCCATTTGCGAGACAGAGTTTCTCTGTGTAGCTCTGTACACCAGGCTGGCCTTGAACTCAGAGACCCGCCTGCCTCTGGGATCAAAGGCGTGTGCCACCACCGCCCTGCAGGCAACAGGATTTTTAAAGTGCAGTTTGAGTATCTCCTTTCTCAAGAGAAGATAGATTTCATAAAATTCAATTTCAGAGGTCACTGCTTTAGTTGAGCCAAAAAGATAATGAAGGTTGGATTTAATTATAACCAGAGATTTACCCAGATCACTTTGTGCAAATGAAGTTTGCCGAACCGGCTGACTATATGAGACGGAAATTTGTAGTATGCTATGCAGAGGTCATCTCATACCTGCAGACGATAATAAACCATCTTTCCTCACCTGTATCACAAAAATCGAAATAACCACTACACTTATTCTTGGGCTGCTTTTTTTTTTCAGGGTCTTCATCGTTTGGAAACGGAGCCATCCAACCGACTATCCGAGAAACCAAACCTGCGGTCAATTCACGCGTCTGCCCAAACCCAAAGTGCCGCTACCTTGCCTCAGAAAAGCCTACCCCACCAAGGGTTTTGGAAAACCGTACGCTAGCTAACCTAGAGACGGAGGGACAGCGTGTAAATCAAGCAGCACGTGTTTATAAGGTTGCTCTCTACCGTGCTTGGACCTCAGGTTTGCGACGAGATGTTGACGAGCCTCCAAACCGCTTCCTAACCAAACTATCCTTACTGGGGACGGGACGACGACAAAACGAGTCTTCTAACAGCTGAGGCGTGCGGTGCGGGGCGGTGCGCGGCGCTGTCCGGTGTCAGCCCCTCAGAGGGGCTCTACACACCCCACCCGGCACGGGATCTGAAGATCCCCACCCGAAGCGGTGGGCCCGGCGACGGGTACTCTCCGGCCAAGCCGCCGCCGCCGCCGCCGCGGCTCTCTCTGTCGCGAGCGCGCGGCGGACCGTTTCCCCCCGCGCCGGGCCGCGCGACCCAGCGCCCACGTCTCCTCCGGGCAGCCCCGCACCGCAGAGGTCGCCTCGGTCAGGGCCCTCAGAAGCAGAGAGAGAGAGAGAGAGAGAGACAGAAGAAAAAAAAGGGGGGGCGAACGACCGTTACCTGGGCGCTGCAGAGGAAAAAAAAACCGCGGCCGCAGAAAGCCTCAGCCAAACCGCCAAGCGGCTACCCGCCACCGCTACCGCACTCGACCCCGCCGAGGCCAGGCGCACATCTGATGCCGTCACTTCCGCCAGTTGCGCTCTTGACTGAAGCCCGCTCCCCCCACCCGGGAGGCCTGGGGGCGGAGCTCTTCAGCAGTTCCGGGGCGGGGCCCCGCTGGACAACGCCCCCCTTGGACAAGGCTTCCTGACTGGTGCTCGTTAGAGGCTGCATGGTTGCGGATGGGCAGCAGGGGTGAAACTCAAGCCAGGGTTCGACCACGGAGCTACGTCTTCGGTCTTCCACGGCTTTTGTTGTTGCTTTTGTGTTGTTGTTTTGAAAAAGGGTTTTCCTCTGGGTAGACAGCCTGGGTCACTCTGGCCTCGAACTCAGAGAGATCCTCCTGCCTCTGCCTCCCGAGTGCTGGGATTAAGGGCGTGCACCACCACGCCCTGCCAGTCTAATATGTCTTTACACTCAACAGAGTTGCCCTCTGCTAGCTGACGGCCTCCTCCAGGCTTATCACCATAAAGTTGAATGATAATAGCTGTTGCCTCCCAGAAATTTGTGAGATCGGTAACGCGAATAGCAAGCACATACTCTCCTCCTCATGTTCTCCGTGCAAGTTTACTGGTGTCTGAAGGACGACAACTAAACAGGCAAGGCTGAATCACAAATTCAATTACGTTTCAGCTCTGCTACTGCCAGCTGCCTTCCAGACTGTTCCAAGAAAACACCAGTTGTTCCTGAGGCTGCGTCTTAATGCTTGATTGAATTCCAACATATCTCTATTTCTTCTTTGTATGGTTCATCCAGGCAGAAAGGAAGTTCTGCTTATTTCCTTTCCCTTGGATTTTTAAAAATATTTATTATTTATTCTGCATGTATTCCTGCGCACCAGAAGAGGGCACCAAATCTCATCATAGATGGTTGTAAACCACCATGTAGTTGCTGGGAATTGAACTCAGGACCTCTGGAAGAGCAGCCAGTGTTCTTAACCTCTGAGCCATCTCTCCAGCCTTTTCCCTTGGTTTTTGCACTATTAACAAGGGAATGAGCTCCTTTAGGTTAGGTGTGTGTGTGTGTGTGTGTGATAGGCATTACTTGTGTGTGTTATGTGCATAGGGACCTATGCATGAATTCTAGTAAGTACAATAGTATTCTTTAGCTATTTTCTTCTAAATGAAACATTCTCTCTTGGAAGAATAGTGAACCTTAAGAAATTAAGAAAACTTGGGGCCTGGAGAGATGGCTCACAGGTTAAGAGCACTGACTGCTCTTCCAGAGGTCCTGAGTTCAATTCCCAGCAAGCACATGGTGGCTCACAACCATCTACTCTTCTGGTATGTAGGCAGAACACTTCATATGTAATGAATAAATACATCTTTTTTTAAAGGAAATTAAAACTTAACAAAGGCCTGCCAAACGGCAATTCAACAGCAGTAGGGTTCATTTTGGCTTACAGCTTGAGGGGTACAGTCCCATCATGGGGAAGCATGACTCCTGGAGAAGGAAGGGGGCTCGCATTGCATCCGCAGACCGGAAGCCTAAAGAGATGAATGTTAGTTTGCTTTCTTTTTCTTTTTTTTTCCCCTTTTGTTCAGAAAGTCAGGCAATAAGATGGTGCCACCTGTATTTAGGTTGGGTCTTTCGTTCTCAGCTACACCGACCTGCATAAGCCTGCCCGCGGGGTTTTACTAGGTGATTCTAGATTCTGTCAAGTTAATACAACCGTCAGGCTCTGGCTTAGCGAAAGCTAGTATTGCTTCCTGGGTCGCGTGGCTGCATACTCCACAGAGCTGACCATGCATCTTAACCACTCGGCCTTGAACACAGCAGGAGCTGCTAATCCTTCTCAAATGTCACTTCACCAATGTGACAAGTGGAGCTGTCATTGCTCTACAATTGGGTTTTTTTTTCTTCCTTTTTTTTTGGTATAGCCAGACTTGTAACTTTTGATTCGCCACGTGTGAATCCGAATGTCTCTCTGGGGGTGGAAAACAGGTCTCCTGGAAACAGCTGGACCCAACCAAACAGGATGGGGCGGGCGGTAGGTAGGCATAGACCTCCAAGAGCAACGACGAGTGCGGGCTAGAGGAGCCCGGTGGGCGGGGCGGGGCGGGGCGGAGGCGGAGGCGGAAGTGGACCTGCTCCGGCGGCCATCTTGCCGTGAGACAGCAGGAGATCGGCGCGATGCTCTCCACCGCTGCTTACGGGGATCCCGAGCGGGAGCTGGGGATGGGGCCTCGCGGCTCCGCCGGCCCGGTACAGATGCGCTTCTCGCCCTACGCCTTCAATGGAGGGTAAAAGCTCGGGTCTGCTGCTGCGCTCACCAGGGTGGAGCGGGCGGGTGCGGGGATGCAGCCCGCTGGGGCGCCCTGCAGCCCTCGGCGTCGCACGCTCCCGCGGGGCGGGCTCCCCACCCTAGTCCTCTTGCCCGACTGCCGTTTCGAGGGGGGCTTGAACGCGTTTCCAAAGCCAACGGGCGACGTCCTTAACCAGCATTGGTTTGTCCTGGTTGTGAGACGCGTAACTGCCCCTGCCGCCGAGACGTCTGATCGTTCATTACTTCACGCAGAAAATAACGTCGATTAATGAGACTTAGCTTTGTAGATCACTGGTTTTTGTTTTCTTTTGATGCTTGTTTGGTTTAAGTTCAGGGAAGAAATTGAGGTTTTGTTCTACTCGGCGACGTGGCCTCCGCTGGGCAGGTTCTACTGAGCTATGTCCGTGCGTGTGTGTTTTACTCTGAAATTGTTGTGCATTTAAATTATCCGCTTTGTTCGAAGGGATGTTTTTCCTTCGAATATGGATCTTTGGCTATATAGGGATAGTCTTCATCAACTTTTATACATTGAAACAACCAATTATCAAAAAAATAGGGGCTTGTTAAGAAAAGCAGCCAGGCAGTGGTAGCGCATGCTTTTAACTTCCAGCATTCGGGAGGCAGAGGCAGGTGGATCTCTGAGTTCCAGGACAGCCTGGTCTACATAGTGAGTTCCAGGACAGCCAGGGCTATACTGAGAAACCCTGTCACGGGGGTGGGGGCATGGGGGGGGAGAAAAGAAGGAAAAAGAAAAGAAAAAACAGCTGGGATAATCCCAGCACTCGGGAGGCAAAGGCCAGTATGGTCTGCAGAGTGAGTTCCAGGGCTATAAGAAGCCTTGTCTCAATTATGTCTTTATGAATGTTGAACATTGACTATATAGGGAGTGAATGCCTTGGTTGTGCCATTTGAAGAACAAATGTGAATGTGTGCTATGTGGGTTCCTTTCAGTTTCTTGAGCTAATAAATAGGTCGAAGGAGACTCAAGGTGGTTACATTTTTGTAAGCTGCGAGCAGCTAAGGGAATATTTCATAGTGTTAGTTCTTGGCTCTTGGCATTTAAACAGTCTTGTCAAAGAGCTTGTGCGTATTAGAACCGGTTTTAAATTTCATAACTTTTCGTTTTCCAGTGTTCTTTTCTGGGGGAGCGGGGTTCGAGACAGGCTTTCTCTGTATTGTTTGCAGTGTGCTTCTTAACTCTGCATGTGAACACTAAGTACTTATATTGTAAGGTGTTTTATTAGTGTTCTGAGTGCAGTACTCACTATTTACCTTTTAACCTTCTGTATTTCCTTTTAATCCATTACTTTCCGAACAGTTACAGTTCTAGTAAATCACCCTTTCTGTCTCTGTGTCTCTGCCTGTCTCTGTCTCTCTCATTCCTTTTAGTGTTTATTGCAGCTAGCATGACAAGCAGCCTCTGGTTCTACAAAATGATGTTAATTTCTCTTGTAGCTTCCAGATTTTGTCATTCAAGTCCTTTACATGCCTCATCCCTAGGAACATAATTCCAAAATCTGTTTCTGTAACTTTATTTCTCAAAGGCTACTACATTCTGGCTTCTTTGGGAAAACTTTTTTTTTTTTTTTTCCTCGAGAAAGGGTTTCTCTGTACTGTTTTGGAGCCTGTCCTAGACCTAGAACTCACTGGTTAGACCAGGCTGGCCTCGAACTCACAGAGATCCACCTGTCTCTGCCTCCCGAGTGCTGGGATTAAAGGTGTGTGCCACCAGTGCCTGGCCCGGAAAACATTTCTAAGTGCATTTTCTGTTTCCACAGTAACTCATATTAGTAAACAAAACAAGCAGGGTGATTATTCTTTTCAGTCACTTCTGCTCCTTAAAAGTACCCCTCGTGCTTCTGTTATCACTTTGCTTATCTGGGATGTTGTAGTTATTTTTCCCACTAAACACATTTAGGTAGTCATAAAAACTTGGTTGCATACGTTGGTGATGTGTTTCCTTTTTCTCTTCATCCTGCCTCCTGGCTGCTATATCACTCTTATTGGAACAGTATTTCTATCCCATTTCACATACTGTATCGTGACCAGAATTGTCTGAAAACCTCACATTTCAAATGGAACTTTTCTCATTCCTGTTTGTATAACCTTTGTGACTCCTTGCTAAAATTGTGAAGTCTAGCTTGGCACTTGGGATCTTCTACAACAGTTCATCACAGGGCCACCTCAATTAAGTTGCTTGGGTGGAGTATTGTAGTGTCTTTGCCCTTGTGTTGCTGTTCATGTATGTGGAATGTCATCCTCTCTGCTTTAGTACAGAACTGTTTCTGTAAAATACTAGGTAATGTTGCCTGGGTGTTCACTTCCTAGAAGGAACTATTCTAGGTACTTTAATGTGAATTCTGTAACACAACAGGTACTGTTATTACCATCAATTTAAACATGGAGAATTTATCCAAAGTCTTATGACTGGTAAGTGGCATGAATAGGCCTCTCCCTTGAGTAACGGTGCTCAGGTGCTTAGTCATCACAAAGTACAGCCCTGCCATACGCCACAACGCGCTGCTCACTCTCTAGAAGGCCAGTCATATAGCTGTCAAGTGTCAGGCAGACTTTATAGTTGTCAGCTCATTTAATCCTTACAGCACCACAATATGAGATAGTTACTGTTAGAGACTAGCTTGACAACATTAGAATCTAGGTTCTCCTTTTGTGGTTTTGCTCTGGGGTTCTTTAGTAGTCATCAGAAACTGTATAGCAAGAAAAAGAAAAGTGTGTTTTTTGACTGTGGTGTGACAGACTTTTCCTGGGAAGACATTACACACACACACACACACACACACACACACACACACACACACACACACTCCATGACTGACTGAAGTTTAACTTAGAGAACCAGTGAATTTTTATTGGGGTTACTATAATAGGGGTGTGGGTAAGGAGGTACTTCAAGAAGCAAGGATGACCCAGAATCAACTGTCATAGAACAGTTGACCCCTGACACAGTTGATATCTTAAAAGCCATGACTCTGGATTTCTGTATACCTTGTAAGTAGCTCACAAGCTGGAAACTCTCTTACAACTTGGCTGGTTAGAGCCTCCTCCCCCAACAGTTAAGACAGGGTCTCACTGTGTAACCCTAACTGGCCTAGAACTCACAGAGCCTGCCTCCCTCTCAGATGCTGGAATTCAGTGTGCACTAAGCTGGGGGGTGGAGGGTTCCAGGAATCTTACCTCAAGTATTCACCTTAGGACTCATGAGCCTCCTCACCCTACTAGAGATATTCCAATTCAGAGGAAAGTGCTCTAGAATACTGACCATTCATTTAGACATTGGCTAACAGTTCTCATATAAAGAACTCAACGACAGTGCTTTCTACACACGAGTATTTTTGTTCTTTAATGGTGACGGTATGATTCAGTGTCTTATTACCTCTTCCCAAGGACGTACTAGAACAGCATTTATGTCCCATTTTACGTTCTGTGTTACATTATTGAGAAAATCGGAGGCCTTCAGAAGTTAACTTGCCCTCGGCCTTGTAACTGCTTAATGGGAAGGGTGCCATTAGAATCTAAGTTAGGAGTTTTCCAAGATGACATGTAGCCAGGGATCCTTTCCCGTCCAGCCTCTTATCTTTCATTTGAATTCTACTCTTACAGCTAGTAGATTTAGGTTCTGTGGAGCACGCTCCTGTTTGAAGACAGTTGCCACCCTGAAGAATTAATTTTTTTCTTTCTTTTTTAAATTCATCAGTACTGTATTGGCAATTGCTGGAGAAGATTTTTCCATTGTTGCTTCAGACACCCGGTTGAGTGAAGGGTTTTCAATTCATACCCGAGATAGCCCCAAATGTTACAAACTGTAAGTAAATCAATCAGCTTTTCTTTCTAAGATTATTTTATGTGTATATTTGTTTTGTCTGTATGTGTGTCTGCACACCATGCATGTGCGGTGTCCACAGAGGCCAGAAGAGGGAAGGCGTCAGATCCTCTAAAACTGGAGTTATAGTTGGTTATTAGCTGCCCTGTGGATACTGTGAATTTAGCCCACCCAGGCCCTCTAGAAGAACAGTCAGTGCTCCTAACCATTCATTGAGCGTCTCTCTAGCCCATATATAAATATTTCCAAAGACAAGTTTCACTGCCTTTGTGGTGGCAGTCAGGAAGGTGCATGGCTAATCACAAAACTGTTAAACTTGAAGTAGAAATGTTCCCAATAAGGCTTGGGTTTTTTACATGGAAGTTTAAGGAGATGTGGAGTAGAAAATAAGGACGGCAGCCTTGCCATGTTTCTGTCCTACGTATGTGAAGCAGGGAAGTTCGTCTTGTCTTCCCAGTTCCCAGCTACCCAGTTAATTCTTCTGTCTCATTAACTGGTTTTCCATAAGGGGGTTAGACTTTAGTCATATGTTCAAATATTTTTAGCTTCATTTTTTTTTCTGTAGAAGTAGTCAGATTTATGAAACTTCTGTGTGACTCTTGGGAAATAGTCAACCTTATTTTCTTGAACTTATTAATAGTATGTCTTGGTCTCACCTAAGATTGATTTGGTGTATGTAAGGAGATGTTGGTATGTAGACTCCCATGCTGCAAAAGGGCTGGCTAATTGTGAGCCCTGCTTTATCAACTAATTTTCCTAAAATTGGCTTTTTACAGAACAGACAAAACGGTCATCGGCTGCAGTGGTTTTCATGGAGATTGTCTCACTCTGACTAAGATTATTGAAGCAAGATTAAAGGTAGGAGCTTCTGTTCACATCTACCCCCTTGAAACAGTTCATAAGATTCTTCTCGTGTCAGAGAGACAGATGGAAGTTACCAGGTGGAGGGAGCATATCCTAGCAATAACGCAGCTCCACTACTGGCTGCTGTGTCACACAAATACCAGGGAACTACAGCACATCCAGTGTGTCTAAACCTCTGCCTGGTCAGGGTTGCTTACCTTCTGGCGGCAGCCTGGGGGCTCTTCTGAAGTTTCTCTGTCTGAAGTGCTTCAGGTCTGGCTGTGGCAGAAGAGAGCTCGGACAGCCTGTAGACAAGAACATGATCTGGAACTGTCTGCCGACCTTTCCTTCTTCACGGCTTTCCACGCTAGTAGACAGCACAAAAAAGGAAAAAGTAATATCCCTGGAGCATTGATTAAGGGTGGCAGCCCATCATCTGGCAGGCTTCGATGGTAATCACCAAAGGGTGATGTGATAGGAACGTGTTAGCAGGGGTGACCACAGTCTCTGTTGCCTACTTGGGTCATTTGAGAAACATCACAATCAGGAAACATTTACTTACATTTGCTGTGTGTGTGTGACTATGTAGACATTGTTTTACTATGTTTTAGAAATCTTGTATTGAAAGCTTCAGAAACTTACATCATGCCTTCTAATTCATATTTCATGATAACTTATCCTAGAAACTCACCGGTAAATTTGTCTACTTTTTGTTATATTGCTTATTTGTAATTGTTCAGTGTTTTGACCTTGATTTACTTTAGAAATGCTTTGCTTTAGAAATGCATGCTATGTGATTAACAAAAATTGGTGAACTTAGTCAGGCATGGCAACACAGGCTTTTCGTCCCAACACTCTCACAGAGGCAGGTGGATCTCTGAGTTTGAGGCCAGTCTAGTTCCAGGACAGCTAAGGCTGTTACAAAGAGAAACCATGTGAAAAACAACAGCAAAAATTGTGAACCTAAATCCATTTTATGTTTATAATTTTTGTGGATTATTTAAAGTTTATAAGGATTATGGAATTCCTGTATTAGCACCCTAAGATTTTTTTCTTTTTTTTTTTTTTTTTTTTTTGGTTTTATGAGACAGGGAATCTCTGTATTGTTTTGGAGGCTGTCGATCCAGCCCGGCCTCAAACTCACAGAGATCCGCCTGCCTCTGCCTCCCGAGTGCTGGGATTAAAGGCATGCACCACCACCGCCCGGTCCACTAAGATCTTTTTTAACCCGATTATTTTATCATTTATTTATGTGTATGGCTGTTTGGTCTACACATACGTATGTGCATCAAGGAGATCAAAATGGTGTCTGTAAACAATTCTAAGCTGCCAAGTAGATGCTGGGACACCAACCCAGGTCTTTGCAAGAGCAGCAAGTGCTCTTAACTCTGCTGAGCCATATTTCCAGTCTCTATGGCCATGTTTTTGATACTGTTTTCCTTGAGGTAGACACTTTGAGAAGAAGCAAGACTGATCCCTTCGACAACATGAAGATAACCACCTCAAATATATGTGACAAAGTATCATTTTATGTTAGTATGTTGTGTTATCTGGTCATGAAAGAAAGAAGCTTTTGTGTTTGACTAAGGAATGCCTAGACTATGTACTGGTTGTCACTGAAGTTTGACAGTTTCTGATTCTGCTTTCCTGTTTTTGTTTATTTTCCAAACCATGAAGATGTACAAGCATTCCAATAACAAGTCCATGACAACCGGGGCGATCGCCGCAATGCTCTCTACCATCCTGTACTCAAGGCGCTTCTTCCCTTACTATGTTTACAACATCATCGGTGGACTTGATGAAGAAGGTAACATCTTGCTTTCTGGCAAATACAAAGTTTTATTTCATAAATGTGTATGCTTCCGCCTGGAGTTGAGCCGTCTAGTCCGGCCACCATGTGGTTGCTGGAAACCAAACTTAGAGCAGCAAGTTATGAGATGTGTCTCTAACCAGAACCCCTTCCTTATTTTGTCCAACTCTTTGTACCTTTGAACATACCCATTATTTTGAATTTTCTGTTTGGGATTTCATCTAACGTACTCTGATTAGATGTGACTACTATAGGGTTAATATTTCTTTGGAGTTGTGTTCTTTTTTCTAGTGTCTTGTTACTGCATTGTGATTTGCATGTCTGGTATGTTTTGGTGATTTTGTTTGTTTATCTGCTATATTCCTTCAGTTGAAATAGTTTCAGTATTCAGGTGGGGTTTGGGTTTGGTAGTTCATAATTTAGAAAACAGTTCCTTCCAGGAGCTCTAGATTCCTCAGGTGAGCTTCATGTCATTCCCTGAGTAGGATATTAACTGGGAGAGCAGCCTCAGTTACTTGATATTACTACTGAGCAGTTGTCCTACTAGCCAGTTAATAATGGTGTCCTTGTAGACTTCAATAACTGTTGTAGGATAAGTGACCAAGGGAAGAATACAGCATATTTGTTGGATTTTAGTTAAGATTAGGAGTGGGAGGGAATTAGGGTAGGTAAAGATAAGGATTAAGTATTAGGTCAACTTTGAAAAGAAAAAAAATGGGTGAGGTAGCTAGGAGGGGAAAGCGGGATACCATTAACATCTACAAATTTTAGAGATTGTTATGGGAATTTATGATTAAGTAAACAGAGAAAGTATCCAGGATGAGAAGATGTAGGAGTAAAGGGGGAGGGCATATGAAATGTGGCTAAAGACTAAAAAATTGCCTTTGTAAACTGGGCTACCAAATCCAAGTCTTAAAATCTAACTTAGAGCCAGACAGTGGTGTCACAAGCCTTTATCCGAGTACTTGGGAGGCAGAGACAGGCGATCTCTGAGTTCAAGACCAGCCTGATCTACAGAGGGAGTTTCCGGGACCACCAGGGCTACACAGAGAAACCCCATCTTGAAATATAAAACAAAACAAAATAACCTTATTTAGGTACAAACAAAAGCAAAATCATTATGAATCATATACTAGGTTAGAAATTAAATAGTAAAAGGATAAAATTTTACTTGTAAAATTAATTTCTGTCACATCTCTACTGAGTTGAAAGGTGAAATCCTCAATTCCCTCTGGCTACAGTAGGTTCGCCATGTGCTATGCAGTGGGAGAGAGAGTGGAGGAGTTGTCCCTGTGACCTCTGCTCTGAGGACCTCTGGGGCTGGTGAAGCTGGAGGCCTGCTTCTCTGGTTGTCTCTGGTTTCACAGGGATCTGATCCCCAGGATTACCATTTGCTTAAGCCAGCCCTTGTGAATGATCCATGATTTGTTGGGGCTTGGGGGTTTTGTTGCTTTTTGAGGTGATCTCTCTCAGTCTGTAACCCAGGCTGGCATTAAGTTTGTTGTTATCCTCCTACCTCAGCTTCAACTAATGGGGTTACAGACAGGAGTCGTCATACTTGGCTCCCCCGTTATTTTGAAAAGACTTCTAGGGTGGAGCGATGGCTCAGCAGTTGAGAGCACTTGCTGCTCTTTCAGAGGATCCAGGTCCAGCTCCTAACACCCATGTGGCAGCTCACAAAGGTCTGTAACATCAGTTCCAAGGGAATCCTGTGCCCTCTTCTGGCCTCTTTGGGCATGCACACATGTCATGTACTTCCAGGCATACAGGCAAACCATTATTCACAGTTTTAAAGACCCTTTCTAAAATTGTAGTAATGTGTTCTTTGATATAAACTCAAGCAGCACATAAGCATATGGTACCTTCTACTTCTCAAAGGAAGCCAGCTACAGGTAACGTTATGCGCATCGTACATGCAAGGAACACGTGTCTGTGGGAGTCAGGGCAGCTTTTCAGAGTTGTTTTTTGCCTACCAGCAAGTAGGGTTTGGGGGTCAAATTCAAGTCAAACTTTGCAGAAAGTTCATTACCCTCCCATCTATCTTTCTGGCCCTGACCCCAGTCTCACCGCCATGTTAACTCATTGTAAGCACTCTGAAGAGGTTGAGTACTTTAACCTGTTCAATAACTAAACCAGCAGTCTGACCAGACAAGTTACAACAGATGGAGCAGTCTGGCTCCAAGAGTTGCTTTCTTTAGCCCCCCTCCCTCCCCCCCCCCCCCACACACACACAGGGTTTCTTTGTGTAACAGCTCTGACTCTCCTGGAACTCATCTGTAGACCAGGCTGGCCTCGAACTCACAAAGACCCATCTGCCTCTGCCATCATCGCCTGGCCTGCCTGCCTGCCTGCCTTCCTTCCTTCCTTCCTTCCTTCCTTCCTTCCTTCCTTCCTTCCTTCCTTCTTTCCTTCCTTCTTTCCTTCCTTTTTTTTTTTTAACAGACTTAATTCACTTTATTTTTCTTGTATGAAAACCCTTATGTCCAGCTGTGGCTACCACATAAGGGTTTTCCTTCCTTTTTTAAACTATGCTATACTTCTGTGGTGAGTGAATACTGCCTTTTTAATAACTTGTAATTTTTAGCTATTTTGAGTATTGCAAAAATATCTACCTTGCTTATATTAGAAACAAACACTGAATAATTTCAGTGTTTCGCAAAGAAACACAAGTCAAAGTATCTTGGCAAGGCCAGGCCAGCAACACAGCAGGGCCAGCACGGCTCTGGTTTTCATCCCTGTGGCTGCCTCTTCCATTGGTGGGAACTCAGCCTCTCTTTCTGACACAGTTGGCCAGTGGGTGTGAAGGTGACGATTCATAAAAAATGAGTCCTCCTCAGGCTACCTGTTTCTCACACATATGTAAGAAACATATTTGCAATTTTTTAAGATATATCCTGTTCTGTACATGAAATTATTCTTGTGTCATGGACAGATATTGATGTAAATTGTTTTTCCAAAAGACATAATTTGATTTCAGTGGAGTCTGCAAGGGTCACTGGTTTCTTGTATGCAGAAGCTCCTGTCCCATAAAAGGTGCTCCCAAGTAACTGCTTAGAGGCTTAACACTAATTATAAATACTAATTATAAATGCTGGGCCAGTACCTCAGGTGTTGAGTGTGTTTCTCTTACAAAAAAAAAAAAACAAAAAACAAACAAACAAACAAAAAACGTTGCTTGGGCTGGAGTTGCTTTAGCACTTAGAGTACTTGCTGTCCTTCCAGACACCTGGGTTTGGAGCCCAGCACACACATTGGCCAGCTTAGAGTTGCCTGTGACTCCAGCTGCAAGGAAACTCTTGGCCTCCACAGACACTTACATATGATGCAAACATTCATAAATTAATTTATGAATGCAGATACATAAATTAAAAATAATTTATATTTTTTGAAAATTTATTCCTTATCATTCCAGTAATTCAAAGCAAGCCATAACATTTCGGGAAAAATAAAGCTCTTTCTGGTAACATTCATGTTTTACTGAAACCCTCTGTTTATTAAATATTAAATAACTAAATGTTACCATTAAATTGGGTTTGCTGCTGCTGCTGAATTTACTATCCTCCTGCTTTAGCCTAAAATTTGGTGTCTTAGTGTTTCTATTGCTTCAGTGAAAAAAGCAAGTTGGTAGGAAAGGGTTTATTTGGTTTAACACTTCATTATTGAAGGAAGTCAGGACAGAGCGCAAACGGCAGGAACCTGGAGGCAGGAGCTGATGCAGAGACATGGAGGTGTGCTGCTCACTGGTTTATTCACCATAACTTTCTCGGTCTGTTTTCTTATACAAGCCAGGACCACCAGCCCAGGGATGGCACTACCCACTAATCACTCACTAAGAAAATGCCCTGCAGATTTGCCTGTGTCCCAGTCTTTTGTTTGTTGTTTATCGAGACAGGGTTTCTCTGTATTGTTTTGGAGGCTGTCCTGGAACTTGCTCTGTAGACCAGGCTGGCCTTGAACTCACAGAGATCTGCCTGCCTCCCAAGAGCTGGGGTTAAAGGCGTGTGTCACCAGTGCCCAGCCCTGTGTCCCAGTCTTATGGAGGCATTTTCTCATTGAGTTTCCCTCCTCTCTGATGACTCTAGCTTGTGTCAAGTTGACATAAAACTAGCCAGTACACATGGTTTGTACAGTATATTGTTAAAGAATATGTTTACTTGATAGTTAAAAGTATATACACAATAAGTTTTAGATATTTTTCTTTACATTTAGTTCTAAGAAAAATTATGCTGAAACTAAACAAGCTTATTTGTTAGAAATAGTATGAAGATTTTGATCATTACCCAATGTGTCTGAGTGGCCTGCTTGCCCAGGGCCATCTGATGGTTGCAAGTGGCATTACTTCTAGGCAAGTTGGCCACAATGTTGGGACATCGAGATGTGAACCTCTTGTCCCTGACCCCATTCCACAAAGGATAGTCTGCTGGGGTTCACTGCACAACAGTAAACAAATTCTGACCTTTGCCAAAAGTGTATACAAGTTGATAGCACCTTGTATCATGTGTTGACGGCTTCTCACAATATTGTGTATACTATTTCTTCTTTAAGGAAAGGGGGCTGTGTACAGCTTTGATCCAGTGGGCTCCTACCAGAGAGACTCCTTCAAGGCTGGAGGCTCGGCAAGTGCTATGCTGCAGCCTCTGCTAGACAACCAGGTAATGTGCGTGCTGTTCTCTGCCTGTGGCAGCCAGCCTCCAGCGTTTCCATTGTGCTGACTTGCTGCTAAGGTCTTCTCGACTGGTTTTCCCTACCAAACCGTTTCTTTCCTCTGTTCTGTGAGTGCCCTGTGGTCTTCACCTGCCCCGTGGCTTTGCGGACTCCTTCTGTGCAGTCATGTCATGTCTTGATTCTTCCCCATGCTGTCTTTACCTGACATCACGTAAATGCCTCCTTTATTACCCTTATTGTTTCCGGACTGTAATCTGTCTCCCAGCTATACTGTTAGTTTTATACCTCCTCGATTCAGACCTGCTTTTATTAGGTTATCTTCTAATTCTTTCATCCTCTCAGCTAGTTCTCTCATTCACACTGCTCGTGATTCCTGTTCCTTGCTCCCTGCTGATGTCTGTCTCACCTGCACCACACCCAGCCTTTTCTTGAAGCGATGTTTCTCCTGTCTGTCCCACACTTCAGTCAGGAATATTTGATACTCTTCAATTTCAGTGCCTTCTTGTTTTGTTTCTACTGCCATTATAAAATACCAGGACCAAAAAAGTAACTTGGTGAGGAAAGGGCTTATTTCATCTTGACAACTTGTACTCTATTATGGAAGGAAGTTGGGGCAAGAACCTAGAGGCAGGAGCTGAAACAAGGGTCATGGAGGAGTGTTGCTTATCGGATTGTTCCCCGTGGCTTATTCAAACAGTTTATACAGCCTAGGGCCACCTGCACATAGTGGGCTGGGTCCTCCCACATCAATCATTAATCTAGAAAGTGTCCCACAGACTTGCCTACAGGCCAGACTGATGGAGGCATCTCAGCTGAAGTCATCCCTTCCCAGATACCCTGCCCAAGTTCTTCTGATGAAGCTGCCTGTACCAAACTCACTAATGGCTTTTGGGGTGGTCACAGCTCCCTTCCCCCTTACTATGCTTACTATGGCTTTTTTTTTTTTTTTTTTTTTTTTTACAGTGTTTATGTCTACCTCAGTGTGTTTGTGCTTTTGAGAAGTTGGGAACTTTGCCAGATTTGTGTGGTGTTCAAGCTGGGTCTAGAATATCCTCAGTCTGAAAGACATGCTAATGTGATCTGATACATTCAGTACAGATCCTGGGACATGGGGGTGTGTGCTGTGGGAGACAGAGACCTTCCTTAGGTCTTGGGTTCACATGATGCTTCATATGAGTTTTTGTCTCCCCAGGTTGGTTTCAAAAATATGCAGAATGTGGAGCATGTCCCCCTGTCTTTGGACAGAGCGATGAGGCTGGTGAAAGATGTCTTTATTTCTGCAGCTGAGAGGGACGTGTACACTGGTGATGCCCTCAGGATCTGCATCGTGACCAAAGAGGGCATCAGGGAGGAGACTGTTCCCCTGCGGAAAGACTAAGTGTGGGCCGTGTATGGGAGCTGTGGCACAAGTTTGTTTTTTATTAAAAAGAAATATAAAGTACTCATTTTCTTGCAGTGCTTCTTCTCTAAGCATAACAAATTGGGAAGAATTTCTTCCTTTGTGGCTGAAGAGATGATTCATCAGTTAAAGTATGGCTCTTAAAGACACCCACGTGTAACTGTAGTTCCAGGGAATACAGTGCCCACTGTCCTTAACAGACACATGCACATACGTGTATGTAATGAAAAATAAAATCTTTAACAAAAGAACTTTTCTTTATCTGGGCATGCTTGTTTATTTTTAAGATTTACATTATATGTATGTGCTTATGTGAGTATATGCCACATGTGTGCAGGTACCTGTGGAAGCCAGAAGTGGGTGTCAGTTCCCCTGGAGCTGGGGTTACAGGTGTGTTGTGGGATGATCTTTCTGTATGATGTGAATAGCTATTCCTATCATTGGCTAATAATAAAAACTTTGACCAGTAGTGTGGCAGGATAAAGTTAGGTGGAGCAATAAAACTGAGAACTCGGATGAGGAGGGGCGGAGTCGGAGTGATGCCAGCCAGCCACCCCAGAAACAAGATGTCAGCAGACCTGCAAAAGCATGGCCACGTGGCAATATATAGATTAATAAAAATGGGTTAAATTAAATGTAAGGGCTAATTGGTAATAAGCCTAAACTATAGGCCAAGAAGTTTGTAGTTAATTTTAAGCCTCTGAGTGATTATTTAGAAGCGGCTGCGGGACAGGGTTGGATAGAAAAGCCTTTGTGTACACAGGTGATTATGAGCTGTCAGATGATGCCATCCTAACTTGGGTCATCTGGAAGAGCCATACACTCGACTACCGAGCCATTTCCAGCTCTAAAGAATGAAGAAAATGGGACTAGGGAGATAGTGTTTTGGTTTGTTTGTTTTCCAAGACAGGGTCTCTCTGTAGCCTTGTGGCTTTGGCTGCCCTAGAACTCACTCTGTAGACAAGGCTGGCTTCAAACTCATCTGCCTCTGCCTCCCAAGTGTTGGGATTAAAGGTGTGTGCCACCACTGCCTGTCTAAAGGATTTTCTTGCCAATTAAAATTGTATCTCTGAGCCGGGTGTTGGTGGCGCACACCTTTAATCCCAGCACTCGGGAGGCAGAGGCAGGCGGATCTCTGTGAGTTTGAGGCCAGCCGGGTCTACAGAGCGAGTTCCAGGACAGCCTCCAAAGCCACAGAGAAACCCTGTCTCGAAAAACCAAAAAAAAAAAAAAAAAAAAAATTGTATCTCTGTGTGTTGGCATATGTGTGAAGGACAGAAGACAACTTGTAGACATCAGTCTGTCTCCTTCCACCGGGTGGGGATCAAACTTGAGCTGCCAGGCTTGGCAGCAAGCACCTTCTGAGTGTCTTTAACTATGTCTATATGGAGGTAACTCTGTCTCCTCCCATAGAAGTTAGCCAAATTGTATAAAACAGGGACTTGGATGAGAGACCTAAGACAGCAGATTCACCTACAGTAATATAGTTCCCCCTTCCCAGAATTCCTGCTCCACAGTGTAGTCCCTACCAGCCACCATGAAGTTCTGTTGGGTCTGCCTATCTTATTAAGTGCCAACTCAGAAAGGTATAATTATTCCTTTTTCTATTTTTTTATTTCAGATTGTGGCCAGAGCTTAAAAAATTTTTAAACTCCCCAATGCTTTGGGCTTCCTTATTCGGCTTATCTTCTCTATTCTCATCCTCTGGGCAGCTGTGATATTTATAGTTTGCCTGTCCTTATATTTTTATTTTAAATTCTAGTAGATGATCCTCAATCTTAAAAAAATAAAAAAGGAGACAGGGTTTCTCTCTCTTGCTCTGGCTGTCCTGGAACTCAGTTTGTGGACCAGGCTGGCCTCAAATTCACAGATATCCATCTGTATTGGCCTCCCAAATGTTGGGATTAAAGGCAAACACTTTTTTTTTTTTTTTTTTTTTTTTTTTTTTGGTTTTTTCGAGACAGGGTTTCTCTGTGGCTTTGGAGGCTGTCCTGGAACTCACTTTGTAGACCAGGCTGGCCTCGAACTCACAGAGATCCGCCTGCCTTTGCCTCCTGAGTGCTGGGATTAAAGGCGTACGCCACCAAGGCCCGGCAAAGGCAAACACTTTTAATCTTCTAAAATTAGGATGTTGGGCTGGAGCGATGACTTAGCATTTAAATTCTCAGCACCCACATGGCAACTCTTGACCATCTCTAACTCTAAACCCAAGGGATCAATCACCTGGGACCTGTGGCCAGCAGCCATACATGTGGTATATTAACACACATACAGACAAAACACCCATAGACAATAGATAAAAGTTTTTAAAAATGGGGTTTTTTCTTTAATTGATTAAATTTGTGTACTCACACATGTTCTCACATGCCATGGGGCAGATGTAGAGGTCAGAGGACAATAAATCAGTTCTTCCATTATGTGGACCCTGGGGATGGAACTTGAGTAGTGTAGCAATTTCCTTTCCTACTGAAACATTCATCCTGCGCAGGTAAGTGCTTTAAGACAGAAGGTAAACAAGTCAAAATACTTACAGGAAGTCCCTGAAACAGCAGATTCTCTAGGTTCCTCCATCCGAGATTAAGCAATAAAGACTGTTGAGAGTTAATCTCAGATAAGCCAAGATGCGAAGCATACTTCTGAGACAGGACCAGTTGCTTGGAAGAAGAAATCAGATCTTCCTAGAAAAAGTTTAGACCAACTGAGGCACCTGGAAAGGACACTGTCCAACCTGTTGAGCTGCCTGCAGGCTGGGCAGTATGCTCCAGGTTTTGGGAGCTGTCATCTGTGCTGGGGTGGGCTTTGGTGATGCAGCTGTCTTTGAGTCATTTCTGCCCCTTTAAGTAACCCTAAAGCCTGCAAATATCCTCAATAAAACTCATTGGTTCACCAACTTGGGCTTTGGTGGTGTCCATACTTTGGTCTGTTGTGGATTCCCTTTCTAGGTTGAGTAGATATGTATGTTGCCTTCCCAAAGGAAAAGTCTGCCAAATAACAGGTCAGCCTTTGCCTACTGTTCTCTTGGTGTGTTTAGTTGTTGCTTTGTGTAGTCTATATAATAACCCTCTATCAAGTATGTAGCTCTCAGAGATTACCCTTTATTCTGTGGGCTGCTCTTCTATTGGTTGATTGTTTTCTTTGTTGTACAGAAGCTTTTTATTTTCCCAAGGTCTCTTTTGTTGTTAGCTTTATTTCCCATGCAACTGCAGCCCTATTATAACCCCCTTACCTATGCTTACTTGGTGACATGTACTCCCTACTTTTAAAAATTTAGTTTTGGGCCGGGCGTTGGTGGCGCACGCCTTTAATCCCAGCACTCGGGAGGCAGAGGAAGGCGGATCTCTGTGAGTTCGAGGCCAGCCTGCTCTACCGAGCAAGTTTCAGGACAGCCTCCAAAACAATACAGAGAAACCCTGTCTCGAAAAACCAAAAAAAATTTTTTTAGTTTTATGTTTATAAATGTTTTGCCTGCATGTATGTGTACCATGGAAGCCAGAAGAAGGCATCAGATCCCCTTACTTTAGTGAGATGCTTTGTGGGTACTGGGAATTGAACACAGATCTCTGGTAGAGCAGTCAGTGGTCTCAACCCCTGAACCATTTCTCTCTAGCTCCATATTCACTACTTGTTTCTATAAAAGTTTCAGATTCTTTGTTGAAGTATTTGATTAATTTATAGTCACTTTTTGTGCAGGATGAATAAGATTGAGTTTTATTCTTCAACAAGTGGATATCCAGTTTTCCCAGAAGCATTTGCTAAAGAGATTGTCTTTTCTCTAATGCAGTTTTTTTTTTTATGCCTGGTGGCTGTAGATGCGTGGACTCATATCTGTGTCCTCTATTCCATTCATCTAGACGTCTGATTCTGTGCCAGTTCCATGCTATTTTTACTACTATGGCTTTGTAGTATAACTTGACATCAGATATGGTGATGTCACTAACAGTATTCTTTTTGTTCAGGGTTGTTTGGGCAGTCTTCAGCCTCTTGTGCTTCCATATTAATTTTAAGATTTTTAAAAAATTGTTTTCTATATCTCTGAAGAATGGTCCCAGAATTTTTACTGAAATTGTATTGCATCTGTGTCTTATAATTTCTGTTGCTGCAACGAAACACCACGGCCAAAAAGCAAGTTGGTGAGGAAAGGGTTTATTTGGTTTATACATCTACATCTCTCTCCCTTTGGTTTTTTTGAGACAGGGTTTCTTTGTGTAGCTTAAGCTATTCTGGAACTTGCTCTGTAGATCAGGCTGGCCTTGAAACTCATAGAGATCTGCCAGCCTCTGCCTCCAGATTAAAGGCAATGCGCCACCACTGCCTGGCTCAGCCTGTTTTCTTATAGAACCCAGGACCGTTAGCCCAGGGATGGCACCATCCACAATGGGCTGGGCTTTCCCCTATCAGTCTCTAAGAAAATGTCCTATAGCTGGATCTTATGGAGGCATTTTCTCAATTAAGGTTTCACCTTTCAGATAACTAGTTTGTCAAGTTGCCATGAGACTAGCAATCACACATCTGTATGTTGCTTTTTGTAAGATGGCCATTCTGATCATTTTGACAATATTAGTTCTTCCAATCCATCTTCCTTAGTTTTTTCAGTGTCTTTGTAGAGTTTTTTTGTTTCCTTGGTTATGTTTATTCCAACTGACATGATGAATGTGTGTCTGGTTGGAGTGTGTGTGGTGAATGGAACTGTTGTTTTTTTTTTTTGGTTAAGTTTATTCTAAGATAGTGTGTGTGAATGGGCCTGTTCCCCTCACTTGCTCCAAGTGTCATTGTGTTTAGGAGCTTCTGCTTTTTCATATGCTAATTTTGTAACCTGACACTTTGAAAGTATCTGCTCTAGTTTTTGGTTGGAGTGGATAGCATCTTATATTAAAATAATTTCATCTGCAAATACATATTTTATTTCTTACTGTTCTAAGATTTCAAGCACTATGTTGAATAGGAATAGAGAAAGTCTTGTTCCTTATCTTGGTAAAAATGGGTCAAGTTTTTCTGTTTTTTTTTTTGTTGTTGTTGTTGTTTCGAGACAGCGTTTCTCTGGC